AGCAAATTAGATGGTAAAATATGGCATAGCATTTTTAATTGGCTGCAGCAGCCAATTTTTGGTTGCGTTAATCTATCTGCAATGTCAACATAGGATTTCGATAGACTAACACAACCAAAAATTGACTGCTGCAATCAATTAAAAATGCTATGCCATATTTTACCATCTAATTTGCTGCAGCAGCCAATCTTTTTTTTCAGTGTACTGGCAGCATTGCACATGCCATTCCAAAATATATCGCAGTAAACTTCCAATATACTTTTGCGTTTATATGACGTCATAAATTTTTGCGTCACTTCCTATTTCTATTACTGCGACTGGCGAGGTCAGGTAATCGCAGTAAATAGATGGCGAAATTCAATGAAATGGGAAATCAGGAAAAAATTTGTTTTTTAGATGTCGAAACGAATAATGTCAAAAAGTTGACATATTAATGAATAAAGTAGATGCAGAAAAAGCACGCAAAGATATGAATATAATTAATAATTCCAAATTTTATCAAAATTTAAAAAATTATTTATTTCTACATAGTCCTACCAAGTACTACTAAATCCGTTTCGTTATGCAATGTCGTAACGCCATAAAAGTACTATTAGTAATTTCAAAACGCTTCTGCAGTACTACTTTATGACGTCATATTGTCAGTACTGACAGTGAATAACGAAACGCAGCCTAAATTTTAACTAGCAGAACTAGCATTTGCAGATTCCGGTTTCCGCTTTCCAGGCTCTGTTTCAATTTCTCTTGGGAGTAATCATGGCCTGTATGTCAGTTCTGAAAAACCACTCGCCATACTTTTCGCAGGCATTGTATCACTCTTTCGTTTGTACACATTACACGTTTTTTGCTCTGGCCGTATTGACCTCCGTGATCTATTGAAGGCAGGGGCCATAACTAAAGAAGAAGAAGAAGAAGAATGGTCTGTATGTGATGAAGCGCCATTCTTATCAGAGGTAATCTTTCAATATTTCTAGATTTATTTCTAGCATTATATTAGGTGTAGTAAAAAGAAATCCATTATTTTTCCAATAGATGACTCTAGTAATCTGTATCTCGCGTTGTATAAGTGCGATCGGGTTACGCTAAATGGCGTTAGAAAAATAAGATTTTGTACTAAAAAAACTTCTCAGACAGTTTTGTGATTGCTTGACTCAGTATTGTTTGAGTGCGCGTCAAAGATGGACACCAGCAAAGAGAAAATACGCCATATTTTACAGTTTTTCTTCGATAAAGGCGAAAACGCAAGCCAGGCGGCTGAAAATGTGAATAGTGTTTATGGTCCTGATACTGTAACAGCCAATCACGCGCAATTCTGGTTTCGTCGATTCCGTTCCGGTAATTTTGATGTCAAGGACGCATCACGCTCTGGAAAGCCAATTGTCGAAAATGTCGATAAAATAATGGAAATCGTCGAGTCCGTCATGTAAGCACTGTTTCGATTGCCCAGGAGCTAAACATTGCACAAAAAACCGCTTGGAACCACTTGAATAAGGCTGGATACAAAAAGAAGCTCGATGTATGGGTGCCACACGAGCTAACACAAAAAAACCTCATGGACCGAATTTCCATCTGCGAATCGCTGCTGAATCGCAACAAAATCGACCCATTTCTGAAGCGGATGGTGACTGGTGATGAAAAGTGGGTCACTTACGACAACGTCAAGCGAAAACGGTCGTGGTCGAATCGCGGTGAGCCGGCGCAAACGGT